AGAAGCACTAGGAGCAGCAGAAAGGGCAGGGGACAAAGCACCAAAGCCAGCGTGACGGAGAGAGCGAGACAGTGACAAAGGGAGGGAAGACAAGAAACCAAACCCAAAGAAACCCGAAACCAGTGAAACCCAAAGACAACCGCAAAGAAGTCCCTATAGTAAGTGGGATACCTGTTCCGTTCCCTCCTTTTGTCACTGTCTCGCTCTTTCCGTCACGCTGGCTTTGGTGCTTCATCCCCTGCCCTTTCTGCTGCTCCTAGTGTGCTTGTAAAGCACTCCGAGCAGAAACAAAAGCAAAAAACAGAAACAAAAGCAGTAGGGGAAAAAAATGGGAAAAACAATTCCCGGGAAAAATCTGAAAAAATCAGGAAACATCATCATCCTCGGTACCCTTGTCCCATGACCCACAGAGAGCCAGGCTCGTGATGACACTCCCTGAGATCATGGTTTCGTGAAGTGAGTGTGTTCACCACCTGTTCGGGTCATCCGAAATCGTCGAAAACGGGGCCATGCCATTCCAGCCGCATAAGCTATGATGATTTCAGGGAATGTTTTTTTTGTATCTTTTTGTTGATCCCACGGGCCTGAAGAGGTTCTACAATTCGTGTTTGGTGGGGTTTATGAATCAAGAGTCCAGATAGATTGATCCTGTAGCCACCTCTACGACTCTATGCCCTCTGCAGTCCCAAGTTGAACTTCAGTGTTGCGGCTGCGTAAGAACGATCTATGAATCAAGAGTCTTCATTATACATGGCCAATGAAATCCAACAGGAGCAGGACATACAATGCAGGACATGCAAGAAGAATCATCATGGCAAGGCTGGTGGAGTGATGAGTGGAAGAAGATCTTGACCCTGGGCATTTACGAGCCCGGAGCTTATCTCACTGATGTGGGCAAATACACATGGTTTTGGAACATTGACATGGTTTTGACTTTAAACAGCTGGACGTGACGAAACCATCGTATTCCTTCAGAATGTCCCACGCCCAAACTGGCGCTTTTTGAGATGTTGAAATCCCAGCTCGGGCTCTCAGAACTCGACATGAAGTGCCAGACATGGGTCGCTTAAGGCCTCCTTCCATCCACTGGGACTACTGTATGAGCGATTCGGCCTCACCCTCAGTTGCCTTTGTTCTATTCTCCAAAAGTTCTGTGCAGCTGAGAGAAACACAGTTTTGGTTCCCCTTTTCGCCCAAAAGATCGAAAGAGCCAAGCGGAAGCATTTGCACAGAACTCTTTGATCCCTTATTCTTGAGTCGTCGGGCTTCATCCTATTCACCGGTGATACCGTTGTGCCGCCCGGCGTTTCACCCGCTCGTTCTCCGATCGATGCCGTCCTCCGATCCGATCGATCCGATCCGATCAAACGGTCGGTGTGAACACTTGGCATCAAACCAGAGAGCACGTTGATACTCAGAACTTCGGAGGTTTTGAAACAAAAAGACCGTTTATTGTCGTCCTTCCTGTCCCTTCTTTAATGTCTCAAACTTCATTCCTTTCTCTTACTGTCCGATTGTCATTGAACTAACCTTGGTGTCAGATGCCACCGAACCCTTAGTTCATGTAGGAGGCGACTTCACTACCACGAACACATCATTAGCATGGAACATTGAAGCACCCATCATCACGGCGGACAGGGCATGCGATCCCACTTCGTGAAGTATCATGCCCAGTCCGTCGCCTCAGTTGGCGATGGCTCCGGAGCGAGTATCACCGGACCGGTTGGGTTGGGTCGACGCGTGGACGAAGGGCAGAAGGAACAGAACTTGGAAGATCGATTTTGGAGGGGGAGGTGCATTTGTTCAGGACTTCACAGACATGGACATAGCAGCTCACAGTAGCTTAGTAAGTGCAAATTGTCTTCAGCTAATGTTGGTATACGTTGGTTCTGTGGCAGAGTCAAGAGTCAAGAGTCTGAAACCTTGGGAGAGTTCTTCCTGCTTCCTTCCACGCTGGCCAGCTCTCTTTCGTTTTGTTTATGCATACAACACGCTCCTCTGGTGTTCCCTACCTGACTATACTGGATACCTTTGCCAACCTTTCAACTTGTCAAAGCTCCGAAAGCCGATTTACCACGCTGAGGTATGCAGGCATCCCATACAAGTAAAGCATGAGGCCAGGAGCCTGCTTCCCTCGCTTGAAAGATGCTTTGAACTCGCTTTGTGTGCTGATGGAAAAGCGAGGCTGCTGGCCCTGTTGTGTCACAGTTGTAAAATTTTTGCAGCAAAGCCACTGGTGAAAACCATGAAAGTGGATGCAGTTTCTTGACACAGCACTTTGCTTCACTATTCGCAGCAAGGCCTTAATCAGAATGCAGCCCCTTGTAGTGCATTGATGACTTTCCGCCGATCTTGGCTCAAAAGGGGGCATTTGGGTGCTCCTGGGGTTACGGCTTGGAGGCGTACGATGAGGGCTTTGACCATCGTTTGCACACATTGATCTTTGCTGACATGTGCCTCTTGTGCCCGTCCAGAAAGAAAGCCCAAAACTCTTTGCGGGGGCCGTCGATGAGTTAAAGCAAAAATTCTATAATCCTCATGATTACCGCAGGGGTGGTGAATTGCTCATGATGTTTTGCTTTCTTCTTAGTAGAGTACAACGTGGAGGATATCATGTTCTTCTTCATGCGTTTTATGGCATGTTTCAAACGCTGAGGATGGGTCCACTGACCAAGACAGATGTTTCCCTAGGAAAACCACCATTAATGTCATCGTCTTTACCGAACAACCTTGGTTTTACTGAGGATTGTACACTACAAAAGCACGTCAACCAATTTCAAAATGGTCTTTCAAGGCCCTCGGCTCAACATAGGGGTGCTTATACTAAACAGACACACACACATGGGTTCTGAACCATCGGAGCCCATGAAAAAACATCCATATATAGTTGAATGACTCATTCTCCGACACTGTCTATGAGGCAGACTTGGGCAGTAAGTCGATTCACAACCCTTCACATGGGTGTGCCAAAATCACATCCAAATCACATCCAAAACGTAGACTCAAGCCCCAGCTCAGGTTGTGGAGACAAAACCCTTTGGGGCTCACCGGGGCAAACAGGGTGAGACTCCACTCGACTCCACTCCGCCGCGTTCTTCCGTTTGGGTGAAAAACAGCTCCGCAGACCGCGACCCGTGAGGCGTGCGCCTCGCCACCGCCCCCACCGGTGCGCAGCTGAGTGCACCGGAAGCCTCGGCACGGAAGCCGAAGGCGGTTCGGCTCGGTTTGAAGGATTGCGAAAGAAGCACGGGTGACGAGTGACAGCGACAAAACCACCAGTGTGTTGCTTTCCCCCAAATGCCCAAATTTAATGTTGTATGGATTTGAACTCTGAACGTTTCTGAAAGCATTGGCCTCCTTTTGGAGCAGACCTGGTGTGGATTCAGCCGTTAAACCAGTTAGAAACCATCCGACCTCAGGTCCGCGACAATGAGGATTCTTCGCTTGCTGGCCCGGCCCCCAAGATGCGAGTCTGTGTTTGCCATTCAACACGTTTCGTTTGAGAAAAGACGAGAAAGATACAGAAAGACGATTCGAGGGATTCATTCACAGCAGACAGCAGACCACTTTGAAAGAAAGTTCCTCGTGGCTTTGATGATGGCACGTTCCGACGACGACCTGCGTCTGCGGCGCGTCGACGCGGCGGCGCTCAGGTCGCCCTCGTGATACTCTCCGAGGGCGCCAAAGTGAAAGGCACCGATCGGCACCGGGGGCCGTCCTGGACGGCCGCCATGATTGAGACGAGGGTGTGTGTGTTTTTCCGGTTCAGGAGGCAGTTGGTCTCGATCTGGGGAATTCTGGGAACTCGCAAACCATGGGGCTTTACTGCTCTTTAATGTCGATTACATATATACTGTATATATATATATATACGTACAGCATATATATATATATACACATGTTTTTTTGGGTATTTTGTTTCAATCATCTTAAATCTACTTTTCTGAGCCGTGGTTTGTTGGATGAGGTGTCCCCGGTGTCCCCTAAGATCAACCTCAGTTATCTGAGTGATGTGATGCTCCAACGTCGCCTTCTCTACTACAGATTCAACCCAACAGGCTCAGCCTTGCGGAGTTGCAACGCGCACCTCCAACCTCGCCGCACCAGGTGCCAGCAGATTGCGGCGAGTGAAAGCTAAAGTTGGACATCATCATGAGGTGCGGCCACAGCCACAGTCCACCAAGGGAGAGGTCCCGACCAAAGGAGACCAACACCACGGAAGGGTTCCATCCTTCTCCAGATCTCAAGAGACACCGCAGAGAAAGCCATAACATCATACCCATGGAGATACCTCAGTCAGCTGAGGTGGAAGATGCCATGGAGATACCTTTATATTCAGTTTACTCAGTCAGCCGGGGTGGATAGGCCCGAGGAACAGGGATTGGGGCACACCTGATGGCAGTTGACCAGTCAAGTGCTTCGCTGCCAGGCCTTGTTGTTTAACAAGCATCTGAAGCAGCTCAGCCGCATCTCGTTGGCTGACGCGTTTGTATCGTGCCATGACCCAAACCATCCCAAACCTCGTCCTATGGAAAGCATGGCCAGCCACTTCGATGTCCAACTCTGTTGGGACTCGCGACCTTGTTCTCTGACCAGGCCCAACGAACTCGCCCCTGATCCCGCTCTCTCAACAGCCTGGCCGCGACTGGACGATGGTAAGGTCTCACAAGACTCAAGACATGGGCGCCATGTCAACAGAGGTCCGTGGGACTTGGGGGAGCTGCGAAGAGAGGACATGGTGGACTGGTTTGAGCATCGTGGCCGGGTGAAAGATGGTCCAAAGAACGAAGAAGCCCTGTGACAGATGCTTTGATCGATGACACCAGCCACTATACAAAGACCCCCTGTCATAGATAGCAGTTCATAGATCCCCACTAAACATGTACTGTATTAGATAGAAACTGTGCCACTATCTATGTAAGAAGAACTATCCCAGACCATCGGACTGGCATATCTACCTGCATTAGGGTGGTTGAACAGTGTCAATAGTAGGTTTAAATATGCCAGGCCCATTAGTCGTGCCTGGGAGAAAAACATCTCTCATCAAAGACTTTGGCAAGAACTTTAGAGGAAGACGACCCCGGACGATCCCGACTCACTCAGATTCACACTCGGAACCGGCACGGGAAGACCGCCCTCCGTCACAGCCAAGCCCATCACCCCCACGCTCAGATTGTCCACAAGACCGCCTACTGGGGCTCCATCCGAGTTGGAACTCCACCTCAAGAGTTCAAGGCCGATCGCACGCTGCCGCGCTCCCGCGCTCCGCCCCAGCCGCGCGGGGGACCGAAGCCGCGTCCGTCCGGCGCGGACCGGCCGCGAGGTGATCTTCGACACGGGCAGTGGGAATCTGATCCTTCCCACGACGGCCTGCAAGTCGGAAGGGTACGAAGCTCTGGAGTGGATGTACTAAACCAGTGAGTCGAAGAAAATCATAAGGTTGAGGGTTTGGTTGGGTTGATTTTGGTGGTCCACACTTCTTTGAAGATCAGTGAGAGTTTCCACTTGGCATTCGCTCTGGCTCATTGCTCGCTGTTAGCAATTGATTTGTGCTCAAGATTATCAGATTATCGTTGTCATTTTGCTGTTCTGCTGCTTTTCTTTGTTGCTTTTTACTTTGCTCCTTGTTTGGGTGTGTTCCTCTGTGTCTCTTTAATTGGCATGCAAAGGTGTTGAATTGGAGCATCTGTTTCAAGATGCTGGTTGTTTTCGATTTCGGAGCTATCTCTTGCAAGGTGTGCCAGGCACAAAAAAGTACAACCCGCACGAATCTGCTACCTCATCTGAGGCTTGTCAAGGATCTTTTGGGAGATTGGGATGCATGGACTTGGATGGAGACGGGACTTCAGATCTATGTTGGACGCAGCATATTTCAAGTGTCTTGCTTGGGCATTGTTGCCAGGCGGGCCTTCACCTCTAGACCTCTAGCTAGTTTCGCAACAGCCAGGCATTTTCGTGCCTTTGTGCCCATCAGCACTGCTCATGTACGACTTAGGGGTCAAAACGTGCGAACGGAGCCGGAACGGACCAAAACACCGCCACCGCCGAACACGCGGAACACGCGGAACGCCCGGACGGTGAGTGACCGATGGTCCTGCTGGCGAGGTGTCCAACGAGAACGGAGAGGGTTCCACAGAGATCACCTTTGGCACAGGATCGATCACAGGTCGGCTTCACCGGTCTCACCGGGCCGAACGGTCGGTTTTTTCGGGTCGGCGACCCGGCGACCCGGCGAAGCGGTGGTTTTCCGGCCCTGAGGGGCGAACCGGCGAAGGCATCGATGTGTTCAGTGGGATTCGATGGGATTCGGCCGACCCTGCACCTGCCGAGGTGATTTCTATGAGGACAAGTTCTGCATCGCTGATTCGCTGTGCTCCAAGGCGGAGATGCCAGTGAAACTTCGGAAGTCGAACCCTCTCCACCAGACCATGCCATCGGCAGCGGTCGAAGCTGCAATGCCGGAGCGGTGACGAAGGTTCTCCACCCGGAACCGGGTCGACCGGTCGTGTCACGACCGAAGCAGTGGTGTTTCTCCTTCCGGGGAGGTCGCTGAGACCGGAAGCCCCACCGTTCGGTGTTTCAGTCGACTCGTTTGGAACCGAAACCGGAGAATCCCACGTGAACCTTCGTTCATGTCGTGAACACCACACGGGGCGAAACCCACCGTTCCATTGGGTTCGACCGTCGAGGCTCCCGGTGTTTCGGTCCAGGTTCGATTCATTGGATCCGTCGAGCAGAGCGCAGTGGTCCTCGGTGTTCGGCGCGCGGCGGTCCAGGGTCCTCCAGTGCCGGTTCGGTTGGGGCCCAGGGTGAGGGGCCCGGGGGGTGAGGGGCGAGCTGAACTGAAGGAATTCCCTTTTTGTTGGGGGGGTGAGGGGTGAGCAATCTGTTGGGGTCTCACAGCTTGCATCCAAGCTGTCGTTTAGGGCGATGGAAGGTCGGGATTTGGGTGGCCACCCGCTGGTTGCGGCCAAGGCGGTGCCTTTCTCTGCCACCCCCCTTCGACGGCATTCTCGGTCTGGGCTTCAAGGACAATGACGTATGGCATTCTCTTAGGGTGGGAGAAAACCATGCGGAGGACCCTCCAACTTAACATGGAGGCGAAAATAGGCGGACTCGCGGAAGGTTGTCGAAGTTACCACCCCCCAGGACCTTCCCGACCTTTTTGGAGTCCCATCCACCTTTCACACGCCTAACTACGTGACCGAACCGGAGACCAAGGAAGGTCACTGGGAAGATCCAGGCCCTTTCAGTGTGATTGGAAGGACTTGTCCATGGGGCACGACTTCAACATCCTCGACGACATGTACCAGTGCGCAGCTTGGGGTGCTCCTTCGTGGACTCATCAAGAGCCACGTTCTTGGTTTGTGTTCCAGACAGTATACCAGTGATGCGCAACCAGACCACACTGGTCAAGTTCTTTTTTGTTTTTTTTCACAGGGATGGACCTGAAGACCTCGGAAACTGAAGAAAAACCGACCAGACAAAGGTCGCTTCACATTTGAAGCTTCTTTTTCACCTCCGAAGAGACGACGAGACTCGTCCAGCTCTGGAAACACCGGCCGAAGCGGACCTGCACACTGTGTGGGACCTTGTCCCCTTGTGACCGGTTCTTGGTTGGTCAACATCGATCAAACTTGAGCCATTTTCGTGACAGGATCATTGTATATGTCTCAAGAATGGCATCACGCCTCATCACGCCTCCCCCCCAAACAAATGGAATGCATCAAAAGCATTCAAAAGCATTCCACTTCGGAGCACCTTCTCTGTCGGACTGGCCGAACGAACGCCGAGGACCGGATCGCTGCCGGCGGGGCTGTTTTCCGTCTTCCTCACCGAGGCGGACCGGTACGGAATCGGGGCGCCGGTGAGGTGCGGAAGAAGCTAAGACGGTACGGAAGGTATGACGTGTGAGGATGTATGATCATAATGCTGCTAATGCTATAAATACCCTTCAAAGGTTATGTAAAGGTTGTGCTCTTTCGTTTTCTTGGGTGCTACATGATGCTACTCTTTTGTGTAACTTCTTGTTGTGGTCGTCATCGTCGTCGTCATCGTCGTCGCCGTCTTTTATTCCTGGTTTATGCCGACAAAGTGCTCAACACGTGCGTTCCGTTGTTTCATTGATCATTCTGCCGCAAAAAAGACAGTATAGAAATGCGAAGGGCTGTTGTTGATGTGATGTGGTGGTGCAGCTGGCTGCATGTTGGTGCAAGGATTCACCACGCCAGTGCTTCTGGGAAGCTCTTCATGTGGCCTTAGCAATCATCATTTTTCCAATGTGGATTGCACTCAGTATTGGTCGCCAACAAACAATGCAGCAGGGACATCCTTTGTAAATAAGATTAAATAAGCTTGGTGTTGGAGGTTGCCCTCAGTCTCTGTTTCTGGTTTCTTCCTTTGCAACCCAGCTTCCTTTTCATGTGTACGTGCGCGCAGCGTGCGCGCAGGCAGGCACTGGTGTCCACGATATTGCTTCTCACTAGTGTGTATTTAAAATTGAAGACCCCCAACCAATGGGCCTTGGTCTACTTAAGTTCCCTTCTTCCAGGGGGTCGGAATGCCTAGGTGTTGGTCTCCCTCTGTGGAAGCCTTCCACACGAAGACCAGTCCACTGCACCGCGCGGGTTCTGTCTCTTGCACGGCGGAAGTCGTTGGGAAACCGCGCCAGGATGGATCCAGTGAGATTACCTTTGGAGGCTACAGGCGGTGGACTCACCGGTTTCTTTTCCCGCCAGACCACGAGCGGTGGACCACATCCTCCATATGTGCAGATCCGCTCGGTCTGATGTGATCTGAAGAGATCCTGAGGCCTGAGCTTCTTGCTTCGGAAGTGGTTTGGGCGCCGGTGACTCGGGAATCCTACTGGCAGGCGATGGGTTGGAACTGGACTTCTCATCCGCTTCTCACCGGCCGGGCTGAGTGTTGGACGCTTTTGAGCAGCAATTACAGTGCGAAGCAAAGATTCAGATCAGGGACTCAGAGCGCCGACAAAAAAGAACATATGGTTCTTACATTGTCTTTTGGATCGCCCATTTTGTGGGCCCACCCTCAAACACCGCATGAAAAAGCGATGTAATCGCCCGGCCAGGTAGCTGTTTCGGACATTACGTTCAACAATGTCGAGACGGGCCTGTGTGGCACCGGATGCCAGGCTGCGAAGTGGGTGGTGATGTGTAGGTAGACGGTCTCTTTATATACACAGAACCACTCCACATGGACCAATTGGAGGGTCCACTATTGTGCACAGCTTTTCATCACAAAGCTTTTGAGGGAAGAGAGTTGGGTCAACAACGCCGTATTGCGACTTGCTGACACACTTGTCACTTGTTGATATCCAAAACACCAAGGCACCTCATTGTTCTTTCAGTAAAGCGCGCACATTTGTTGATGTCGTCACTTCTTCAAAAGGCCCAAAGGCCCAAAGCAGCACCGGTTTTCGACTGTCTCGCCGTCCAGGTGGCGGTGGACACTGGGACCTCCATGTTGGCGGGGCCTTCAGCCTTGGTCAACAGCTTGCAGGCCATTCCTGTGACCAGTGACCGGTGACCGGCTGAGGGGTCGGAAGGGTGGCCGAAAGAAGTGACGGTGGGGTCTGGGAGTTGGACCTCTCTGCCAAAGCCAGAGTCTTTCGTTGGATTCTGTTTTTCTTTGGGTTATACATTGGTTAAAACGTGTCGTACCATGTGACACTAGCCTCTTACAGGCCGAAAAAGGACCTGTTATACAATGCTTTTCTCTATAACATTGGTATAACTTGCTTAGCTGCGGCGCTGCCCTTTTCCCTACGCCGTGCTTTTTCCGCGGATCGAGAGGCCAAAGTGGCGCCGGAGGCGGATCACGGAGCGAAGGGGGCCGAGTTCACCACCTGTTTGAAAACATACTTTAAGGAACACTGCGTAGAGCAGTACCGCTCTTGGATGTATCGATGGCCTCCACCCTACAAGCGATGGCCTCCAACCTACTTGCGATGGCCTCCAACCTACTTGCGATGGCCTCCAACCTAATAGCGATGGCCTCCAACCTTCTTTTTGGTATTCGGAAAATGGTCGTCCAGCGAGCCATGCCATGCATGTTGGCCCATGTGTATTTCATAACATCCAGACAGACCTACAGAAGACCACCCAACATCCCACCGGTGAGACCCAAATATGCAAGCCACATGCTTTTTAGGATTCCTCGCTTGTCAACGCGTTTGTCGCACCTTTCGTGTTTTTGTTTTTTCAGTTGAACAAGGTACACAGAATTAATTAGCCCAAGAGGAGTCGGCATGAATCCTCCTGTTCGGCAATGGCGAAATTGCAGGCTGACCGACAATGCTTCTTTGACGTATATGCACCTTTTCAACATGTCAGCATCACAGCACAGCACTATGGCGGCATAGTACATATGTGGCGAAACAAGGTGCAAGAATGACAACGTCGCAACAAACAAGAACCAGGAAACCAGCTCCGGGCCCAGAGTGGCAGCCTAGCCTCCGCGGTAACTTCCAACAGAAAGAGGTAGGCGCACAACAGCATGACCCGACTTCAGCATTTTTGTGGCGTGACCCATGACATCGTTGCAGCACACAACATGTCAGCATGACAGCCTGACAACATGTTTGCGTGACAGCAATTTTTGACAGCACGGCAACATGACACCCTGCCACCAAATCGGTGTGACAACATCGGTGGGTCATGCCAGCATGACAACATGTTAGCAAGAGCCGCACATCAAGCCTGACATGTTTTCATGCGAGCGACCACAGGTCAGAATGTTGACATGACCACGTCACACCATGCAACCCATAGCCCTGGCCGCATGACCACATGTCAGCATGACACGCCCATCAGCGTAACATCAGCGGACCTGCTCCGCTCAGTTCCGGCTGAAGACCCCCCGCCACAGGTTCGCTTTGGAACCAACGACCGAATCAACTAGAGCAACGTGGTTGTTCGGTTTGCTTACCTGGTATGGCTGCGCATTGAACTGATGTGGAGCCACATGGGTTTTCAAACCTCAGTTACCACTGAAAGCCAATTGTTGCAGTTTCTCAGGCTCCAACAAAGAATCGAAACTGCATATGAACCATTATTGGTAGAGGATGTCCAAATGACATCGAAACTCACTGCCATGCCAGCAATGTTTGGCATGCCCGCAATGTAGTTTATCAGATACTTTGAGAGGTCGGGACATAGACGAAACCCACCACCAGTGGGAACACATTCGGGCGACATGCAGGCGGACTGCTCCAACTATGATCGTTTGCCAAACATCGGCTTCAAGATTGGAAACAAGGCCCAAGAGCGGTGGAAGTCATAGAAGAAAGGATACCAGGATGTAGAGAAGATCGACTAGGTCGGTGGGTCAAAGACTGTTTCCTGTCCTGAACTATATATGCATACACACACGCACGCTTTTCTATAAGCAAGAGGTGTCAGCGTGCTTTGGCCACCTCCATTCCAGTCAACTGTGACTTACCCTGTGACTTACCGGGCTGAGCTTGCTGAGTGTCACTTTGCAGATCTTGAACCTGAAGCCCGAAGATTACATGGACCTGCTGTTCCAACCGGGGCTGGGGCGGGGCAGAGATTCGCTGGGTGAGTGCTCTCAGTGCTTCCCGAGATCTCTCAACGGTGACGGTGACAGATTTGGCATCTACTTGTGAAGTCACAGGGGTCGACAGGTTCGACACATGACATGGGTGGAGATACATGACTTAAGATAACTCACCAGGTTAAAGTTGGATGAGTTGCATGACGGCTGCACCATCACGTGCTGGTCGGCTGGGTGTTCTCGCAGCACCACCATCGTTATTTTGTGTTGTTTGTGGTAAGGATGAGACATGTCTCCTGAACATGCATGTTTCTTTCCCATTTTGCCGTCGACCATTTTTGCTCAGCTCGACACAGGGCCCAGGAGTGGGGAGACTTTGTTTTGGACAGGCCTTTTCTATTTCTTTTAAGCATAATTAGAGAGTCTTAGAAAGGTGTTAGTTCATAAGAAACATAACTCTACTAAAAAGAACTAGCAGGGCAAGTCAAAGATCCAAGTAGTTTCAGCTTTTGACTCCTGGAGAGATTTGACTCCTGGGCTGAGCTCGCGCGTGGTGAGTGATCAGCGCAATGGGTGCGGGCCCTGCGCCTGGCTGTTGTCAAGCCACCAATGCTGAAAAAATGGTTTGTGGCAGTCGCTTGGCCTTTTTTGTGTCTCGAAGCACGTGCACTTGGCATTTTCTGAGCCATTTTCGGAGCCTAAAGGCAGAACATGTAAGAATGTATGCTTGAAATGAGTAGGAAGAGTGCGAAGTTAACAAGCCTGGAAGACGGGCCAGATACCGGCCCAATACAGCGAATGAAAGGATATCATTTTTGATAGTTGGACCATGTCTTGGACATTGCAAAGATTCGGGAGGAAGGCGAGATTTCCAGTTTTTCTCAGACCGCTTCGTAGTGACCCTTCAACCGAACTTCTACCCAACAAAAAACGTGTGTAGCAGGGACTCTGAGATAAGAGGGCTGGAGGAGACGAATTGATCGTTTCCTCACAGTTTCTATGTTTCTTAAATGGGTGGTTTCGTCATTGGCCCATTGGCAGCCTGTGGTGCTTCCCATGCCACGACGTGTCACCTGAAAACTGGTGATTTCCATCACCCCAACGACTTGAACATGCGTCCGATGCGGTGTTTGGGGAAGGTGAGGATGGAAAAGGTCCGAATTCTGTTGACCAGCGGCGATTTCAAGCTTACCAAGCTTCGCGTGGCGTGGCGTGCGTGAGGTGATTTCGATCAAAAGACTCTTTCACTCTTGTACGTCGACCCGGATGACTTGTCCACGCAAGCTGGAACTTCCAGTGATGCCTCCAGCCGTGCGAGTGGCTCGGGGCGCCTTCGAGGTGTCCCAGTGGTCCGTGTGTTTACGTCCAAGCCGGTGTTGAAGGCGAGCAGCCTGGATCGGAATGCCGTGGAAGAGTTTCGATCGATGCTGGAGAATCATGGCATCAACACCGCGATGTGGGGAAGAAATAGATCCAAGTCCTTGGAACAGCTCTTCTGGGAGGTCTTCTATCATCGTGGCTGCATCCTCACTGGCATTGGGACCTTGATGCTGAAACGGGTCACCCGAATCTTAAAATTGCGAGTCTTAGCCGAAGTGGATGGTGCGGAGCATTTACTGGTCTCGCGGCTGCAATTTCTGCACGATGGCCAGCAGATCCAGCGGCATCAGGTTCCGGTCTGTCGGCTGTGTTGGAAGATGCCCGATGACAACTCCTTGGTGCAGAACTTCGTGGACAAGGACAGCCGGCTGATTGCAGAGGAGTGCTCCAATGTGGAACATTGGAAGAGTCGATGCATATCGGCATTGGAAGAGATCTTAGGGGTGTCCTCTGCGCGAGAAAGTCTCGAAGAAGATGCCAGCGCGTGGCCTGGTAGCTGTCGGGCCCTGGGGGACAGGAACAACATGGACCAAACCATTATATAACAGTGTTTGAGAGTGTGTTCAAAGTGTTCTCGGTTTGAAGACACCGAGGTGATCACTGTCTCATTCACTATGGATGATATGGGCCATATCTATACCGTGTTGTGGACCAGTTTGTAGCTTTCTGCAGGTTTTGATACATGTTCTTTCAAATTGTGGGGAACAATAGACTGCCTGCTTTGACCGGACCATACCGATACCGGACAAATGAATCCTTGATCGAATTCGGTGCGCTCTCCTGCAATGACCGAGGTACTCCTATGTGACTCAAGACAATCTTTTGAGTGATGGATATCCGGGGCTGCGCACACTCTATTGTGTGCATCAGGCGAGAGCAGAGCGAGATCACTCCGCTGGGTGACCTCAAAGTCTAAGTATAGGTGATCAATCGATAGGTTACCTTGTTTGTAGATAGGCGTTCATCTCTCAAGAATGCCCTCAAGAATACTCCACTTCAGCTTTTGACCCATATCCAATTTCACTGTCCGTTGATACCGTGCGGTTTCGTCACCGCGCTCCCGGTGCCTTTGGCTACTTGACGCGCTTGGCGAACTGCGTAGAACGTCCGGAACCCCGATCCAGGTGACCTTCAAAGTCATCGAGCCTCATCATCCGAAAGCGGGGAGCGCCCGGCTCATCGACCGGTGGGAGCGAGTTGGGGAAGACAGTAGACGACCACTGGGTGGTCGAACGTGGCGGGGCCGCAGGAGTGTCTTGACGACCGCACCTGCGGGGCACCTGCGGCTGAAGTACCCCCCCGGTTCTGGCTACACATACACATCACTTGTCAAAGTGACAATTATGTCAGCTGAAAGGAAAAACAGGATAAGAAGGCTTTGAATATACTGTAACATAATATAACTATCTGAATAGTGTTTACCTGCGAATGAAGAGTTTCTTTTGATACGTGATCTCACTCCTGCAGAGCTTCGTGAGTCTCCTCGCCATGCCTAGGTTGCTTGCATCGGCCTCCCTCATGGGCAGGAGTGCGCGTCAGGTCGTCGATGTTTGTTCGATCCGTGGCTTTTTTGAGCTGCGCTCCCGAGCTACGGGAGGCTTGGAGGCGCCGAGGTCAGCCTGGAGGTCCTCAGTGCCAGGTCACCACCTGGCCGCCGTCCTGGCCTTTCGCCGTCGTCGTCAGGACTTTGCCACGGCCGATGAGGCCTTCGACCTGGAGAGGCCCACGGAAGACTCGACTCGACCGGTAGAAGACCGGTGGAACACCACGGGTGGTGCTTGACTGGTCCGGTCCAGGAGTCTAAGGTGGTTCCGGTGCCGGAGGAGAAGGGGGTTGGGTGGCTGGGTTGTTGGTCGTTGTGTGGGACGACATCGTGAGGTGTTGGCTTGGTCAGAAGGCTGGGTTTCTTTCCATTCCATTTCTGCTTGGGGACGAGGTGTCCTGCGCGGCGGTTCGGATCGTCTCCTTTCCGCCGTGCTTTTCAGGTTTCACTCCAAGGATCAAATTCCCATTGGCCGGGCCCGCAGATGTGCTGGTGTGTGGTCTGTGAAGCTGCGACCATTCGAGCCTTGCACCTTTCGAGCACTGACCACTCTTTGCTGAATGGTCCAACCGTCGGAGATTCGGAGATTTGGAGAGGAGAACGTTGTAGAAACAAGAGAAATCCGTCTCATTTGATCCACCATCCTACTGCATCAGACTCGCAAGTGCGGCTGCGGTAGGCTCCACTTGGAGTTGATTGATGTTGATTGATGTTGATTGATGTTGATGGTTGAACCTCTGGACTTTAAGACATGTTTGGATTTCAGTCTGGCCCGGCAACACCCGGGATCCCGCGGCGTCGATCCCGGGGGAGGCTGGAAAAACCCGGAACCCCATCCGCGCGTCTGTGGACGACCGTGGTTTCGTGGATGTCGATGGTCGATGGTCGAGGCTCTCAACTCAACGTGTGGTCTTGGACGGCCAATCAAGAAGTGGTGCAGGCCCCGATTCGTAATTAGCCGGGCCATGACAGTGACGGCGAAATATCTAGCTTCATGCTTCTGAGGGTTTTGGAAAAGTTTGATTCGCAAAAAAAAGAACACACAATTTAGAGAGGTTAAAATGTTCCTTTTCGATCATTTTTGGAATCTGTTGTTCACCTCTTCGGCATTTGCTGTGTTCGTCTTGCATCACGAGGGACGGGGAAGTTCCCAATATACATCAGAAAGGACGAACAAACGAATCTCTTCAGCGAGACTTCCCTCCGCAGGCGGGTGGACGAAGGCCAGCCACATTTTTCCGCAGACGCCACCTCGGAAAGGTCTCTGCGTGGAGCGGCATTTTCCCGTTGAGAGTGAGACTTTCACAGTCCACCGTAGTGGGAAGGAGGCCTTGGGTCCCTCAAAAGCTAAGGATTTGAGGGTCGGGACCCCTCAGGATTCGCGTCTGGCCCCTAAGTCCTTGAGCGTCTGGGTGGAAACATCGAGCATTTTTGTTTCCCTCCCACCGTCTTAGTTTTCCATCTGCGAAAACGATACCGAGTCAGAACAGCCATCTGGTAATTCCCAACCAGAAGTCTCTTCACCGCCCAGGTCGGCAGGTCTTCCCTCCGACTCGACCGAATCAGAGATACTTCACGTCGTCCCTCAACCCTGAAGGACTCGACCTGGTTCCAGATGTCCTTTCTTATCTTTTTTCTCAAAGGTAGGTTTCAGATTCACATCGGCTTGGCCACTAGCAGACCTATACAACCACTAGTAGGGCTCAAAGTGGTCTACCTCAGGCCTACGTCCGACCCACCTCGGTAGGCCTTGCCGGCATCCCACCCATGTCCCACCCGCAACCCGCGGGCTCCGCAGTGCTCCGCGTGGCCTCTCGCTGGAGCCGGATGGTCCGGGGTGCCTGACCGGTCGACGGTGAGCGCAGACCGTGAAGCGTCGGGTGAGTGGTCTCGGTCTGAGTCGGTCTGACTGGTCCCGCGCAGAGCAAGAACTACCCAGCTGAGCGCTTGACCGCTGTCAGCGGTTGACTTTGCCGGTGATGACGTATCCCCCTAAAGGCTGTTTACCTTTAATTATTTTGGTTAAGTTAGTTGACCCGGAAGATCAGATCCATAAGCAGGACACGTTAGCGATTCAAAAGTTTTTGCAAACATGTGATTTGGACAGGTTAGCTGCGTAGAGGTGTGTTGCAATGTGATCCTGGGAATCTAGACTAAAGTCATTATGAAAAAGAACTAACATAGCCCGTGACAAAAAATTGCATCTCTTCTGTCATGGGACGGGTTAGCAGTTTTTTTCGATGCATGCTGGGTCGTCTTTAAAAGCATTATGAAACCGTTTTCTCCGGTTATTTAGCAGGAAATACCGCACCAGAGCTGAACATGTTAGGGACTAGTCCCAAATGCACCCTGGGACACGTATATCTGGAAGAGTGTAGATGTTCCCTTTTTTTTGGCACAGAAAAACCAGGCGTTTTGGGTGTTTTGGGCTTCAAACGGTGGTGTTTTGGGCTTTGCAGATATGGAGCAGACTATGGAGTATGGGACTCCAAGGGCTTCAAGGGTGGCTGGGAACCAGCATGGCATGGTGCTTTGATTGGCGCAGGGGCTCCCTTGCTCGAAAGACCCCCCAGAACGACTCAATAGACTCAATAGACTATAGTACACTATATTATAGTCCAAATCTTAGACATTCCATTGACTTGAGGATCCCTGAAGTTGTTCCCTGTTCTTTAGGATCCAAGAAGACGTTTCGCTGCCAACGACTCATTGTTGGCCCAGGAACCGAATCCAAGGCGATGCGGCGATTGGTGCGCAGCTCAGGTCGTTCTGGTGAGCCGGGAGGGAGGTCTGCACCACATTGGACACCGGGCGTCCTGTTCTTGTGGATCTTGAGCCGTCGTTTGAAAGATGCCTTGGGCCATGGAGGCATTGTAGTGCTTGAAAGACCACTAACCACAACTCATGGTTCCAGACTGCAAGCAGCCCTTTGCTTTCGGGACCTCTTCGGCTCGTTGGGGCAGTCGACGTCCTCCGGGACCTGGGCGACTCACGTCCACCCGAGGAGAATGAGCTGATGCTCGAGAAGCGTGTCCCGGTGCCCATGTCGCAGTCGCTCACCGCCGCCAAGGAGAACGTCATGGGCGTTCGGGTGCTCAGCGTGGGGGGAGAGGGAGTGCTAAGGGGGGGGGGGACAGAGGATCCTCGGTGTTTCTTGCCATGGCAAGCGGAAGCGTGAGGCCAGAAGTACCTTACATCCCAAAGAGGTGCAGGGCAAGTGGGCGCCTCAGGCTTTTGGAAGATCGCTTCAAACGTGGCTGATTTGTAGGCTCCCTCGGCTCTGAGTTGAAGAGCCATATACCAGCACCCTCCAACAGGTCACCAATTGAGACCTGTTAGGGCCCTTCCCAAGCCTCTAAAAGAAACCTGTTGAAGAGCTATGTATTATATAGACCTCTGAAAAATCAGATCGACCGTCTTCTCACGTCTTCTCTAGGAAAGGAGCTCCGAATCCGCACCTGCGACGGATCTTGCAAGCCAAACGTCTGAAGCTGAGATTGCTCGAGCTCCGAAGCCGTTCGTCTCAACGGGCCAGCCATCGCCATCGTCGTGACCCGACCTGCGACGTGACGACTCTGACGACATGACCTGCAACAAACCCACTGACCTGCGACCCTGCGTAAAGAGTGCGTCCACCGTTTGGCATCTGCAGGTCGATGGTTTTTGTTTCCGGCTTTCGAGGTCAAGAGGTCAAGGCTAAGGTGAAAAGAGGTGAACAGCAAGGAAAAAAAACAATCAGAAAATGGCGACTCGGGGAGCGACAACCGCAGCTGCCCAGGAACGGACTGGAAAACTGTGAGGAGCGTGCGTCTTTTCTCGACTGACCGAAGACGGCTTTTCGAAGACGGCGTGGCGATGCACGGTATGGCTTTTGCAGGAGAATGGCACGACGCTTACAAGACAAAGATTACACCTTGAGCCAGTTCAACGAGGACCTGGCTGAACAAATAGAACTGTCAGCTGGGGTATGCGGTATGCTGGATTTGTTCTCATCCCACTACTTTCGTTCGGAAGAACATAGTCACTCCTCAGAACCAGGTCTCTGGTAAGCATCATCCGATCTCGTTTCGCTGAGAATACCCAGACACTCCATGTATATTATTCTTATTCCGCCTTGCCAACGAGTCTTGGCGAGCTGCGCATAGCGTTGTGCGATGCGGCAAGCAACTAAAGACACTCCATGTATAGTATATGCCGCCCCATTGACCCCTTTTCAACCACCCCATCGACCTTTTAAACGTGCCAGTCCCATGGAGCCTCTGGGATAGGAAACACCATGAAAGACCCGACCGACGCCAACGAACCAAGTCAGGGGCGGAACTCGGCTTCGCATGCGACTCCCTCGAGCGAAGCGTGCCCAACCAGGTTGGTCATTGCACCATGACTTTGTTGTCACACATGGGGTAGCTTGATGCTCAGGCTGAACTTTGGCGTGACCAAAGAAGTGGTTTCAGTCTTTAATTTAGATTTAGAAGTTTCAGAGTACACAGAAAGCAACACAAGAGTCATAAAGCAACACGTCATGCACACCCCACCGGGAAGGTGAAACACCTCGTTTTTCGGGGAAGTGTCCGGGGAAGTGTGGGCCCGCCGATGATCTCCCGGCGCCGTGGCAGACCCGCAGGATCTGACGGCCTTTCCCGAACTCTTCCTCTACCTGCGGGATGGGGCCCGGTCACCTAAAGCGAAACGAAGCGACAGACGACCGCTTTCCCGGGCGAGAGCCGATGATCGACCACCACGATGCTCGGTAACAGGTACCATCCGAAGTGCTGGTGACTCTTCAGTGCGCCATAAAAAATGACCCAGACAATCCAATTACAAAATATTACAGTCCTATTTAGATGGTGTACTTTCATTTCAGCCTTCATCTCAGAGTGGAGATTCAGGTGATTGATGCAGGGTCCGGGCGGACGACGGATGACGAGTGCGCCGCGTTTCATCTCATTGACCATCTCCGCGACGGAATCTGTGAATCAATCTATCCTTCCAGGTCTCGGGAAGGATCACCCGGGTGCAGCTTGAGAAGTCGATGAGTAGCCTCCTCTTTTTGTTGACTCCTTTTTCTAACCATGTTGCTGTTTGTCAGGACCGACAAACCGACAAACTGACATTGAACATATGGTGGAAACAACGCTTGAGCATTTCTTACATGGCCAGGTACCAAAGAACTGTTTGTGCGTTCTTTGCCATCTATTGGCTGATGCGTCCCAAACCCAGGTCTCTGCAGAAACATGTCGTGCTTGTCACGCAGTCATACCTTCAAAACTCGTGGTGCTTTGGGCTGGTGCTCTTGGAATGGCTTGGATACTCTTAGCCTTGGTGGCACGGAATTTGGCAAAATCGCAAATCCAACTTCTGTTTTCAGCAATGCCCAGTGGTCAGACTGATCATTGTCCACTTAGGATTAGACATCGACGGGCGACAAGGGTTTAGCTTTGGCATGGATGACGACTGGAATCCTCTGCAGGACGTCCAACGGTGACGAAATGTGCCAAATCTTCGCCTTCTCTTCATGTCTTGAGACGCAGCGATGGTGTTCCGTTGGGAGGGAGTCCATTTTGTACACCAGACTCTCCCAGAGTCACAGCCTTGGTTTGGTTACATTCCATCCATGGGCGTGCAAAAGGCGGTGCGGAGAAGGCCGTCGTTTTTGTTCCTCCCAACTTCCAACACGCGGGGTGAGGTCGCAAATCCGGGGTGAGAGTCATTGGTCGTTTTCGTTTTCCGTTCAGTCGTTCGGAACCACTCGGTGCGTCGAAGACGTTCGCGACGAATCCACGCCCGAATCGGTTCAGCGGCGGTTCCGCTCCGCAGGAGTCCATGGTGAAGGATGGACAGGCCCCTCGGGGCGCACAGTTTCGGAAACACATCTGGACCATCTGGACATCGCAGCTTGAAGAATCGGAACAGGAGTTCCCTGGAATTCCATGGAATTCCTATATAAGATTATATAAGTGTTTAACAGTTTATTATATATGCAAGCCATGTTGGATTCAACAGTTGTTCTTGATTCAGGTTTCATGTCTTTTGTTTAAAGACGTGGGTTTGCTTCTATCTTTTGCACCCCAACCGAGGTTTCGATGCCCAAATCCACGGCCAGTGTGGAGTTGCAGCAACGTGGGAGATCTCAACATGGGAGATCGGGCGAATGAACAGATATGAACTGCATTGAGTAGCGTCCTTGCTTCTAGTAGTGAGGCCAGGAGCCCCTAGTAGCGTTCTTGTTCCTAGTAGCGATGCCCTCTGCTCCTAGTAGCGTCCGAGTAGATGTGGGCGAGCAGACGGCTGTGGGTCACCTACCTGGGAACCAAAAAAATGAAAAGAAAAAGACTACAGTAGTAGATAGGGAGGTCAACCTGAGGTGAACCTACCAGGGTGCGTTCGGGTCTGCGGGGAAACCAGCCACATGTCACCATGGGACCCTTTGGCATCATGTTCTTTCTATTGTTTCTTTTGAGAGAGAAGGGCTGACAGGCGTTCTGAGAAGTGATGACAGGCGTGCCCTTTCGCGGCGTTCGGATCTCTCTTTCTCGTCTTCGGGAAGGATTCGTGCTGAGGGAGTCGGAGAAAACACGATTGGAACCACATTGGAACAAACTCGACCTGCATTGAAACCCCTGTTCCCTCCTGGTGATCCTGTTGTCCATTCCGAAAGAACATCCACACCCTCCTAAAGACCGAACATCGTGGGACACACTTCCCATCTCTGAGTGCTGCAAGATCTTATTTGCAATGTATATATATATAGGACAAAAGCATTGGAGTGTCACGTACATGGGATCTGAGTGCTGCAAGCCCTAGTACTCTTCAGGTGCCTCACTTGATGCCGACTCTCGTGAAAGAAACTCTATGGGCCCTCCTTCCACTGTCCTGCTGTACCGGGGCTCCCTCCCCCCCCTCCCCGTCTTCTACGATCGACGTGCTGTGGCCTCCGGTGTTGCACCGGGTGCCCAAAGGCCTCTACAAGCTCGACCGACGGTTGGCCTTCTTCAACAACGCTCAGCCGGAAACGCTCAGGGCCACGGGGAGGTGGACGGGCATGTCTGACTCGACGTGTGAACCATCAAAAGGCCTCCAAAAGGCCTGGATGACGGGTGGAATTGCTGGATGACAGATCTGATTCAGAATGTGCGGTGATTGAGTGGTGTTCCTTTATATGGTTTGGTTTGGTTGGGCCAGAATTGACTAACTGGCTCTCCCAAAAAGTTGACACTATGAACAATCATAAAAATCACAGAAAAAAAGCAGACACATGAACACATGAAGAACAGAAATCCCAACATGCCGTTGTGTTTCAACAGCCGTTTTTTGGTCGTCGAAGCCCTCCGGTCTCGAACCCTCCCCTCCGGCCCGGTGGAACACCGACGTTCCGTCGCTCAGGTGGGGCTTCTTCCGGCGTTTGATGATCGATGTGTCTTGGCTTTTGGACGGACGGGTTCGACGGACCGGGAGGAAGCCGCAGCGATTTGGCGGCGGCCCCTCAGAGTGTTTGGGGTGCTTGGGGGAAACGGTTTCCGGTCAATGGGGGGTTCTGGGCAGTTCTTGTTCACCAATTGAAGATTCTTTAAATCTCTTTGTGGTTCTAAACATAACTGGGGGCTTTTGTTATTCTTGGATGAGGTTACTGTAGGTTTTGTTTAGACGGTTGTGCTTTGTTTTGGGATTTGGTTTGCATACCGCCACGGCCTCGTTTGCTTCGCAATACCTTCAATACCTTCATAGAGAACAAAACAGGCGGAACAGAAACCGGAGAAACTGAAAGGACCGATTGAATGTCCTATCTACCGTATCTGCAAAATTGAGAGGACGGAAGAGACAAAATGACAAGAGACGAAAGAACCAAACGACATCAAAACAACTTGAACAATCCAAAAATCAGACACAGTAGCAAGCAAAACAAAGAACAACAACATAAAAGCACTGAAGAAGGAACACATACATTAAGAGAACACACATTAATGTAGATTACATCAATGATGTCTTCACCCCTTTCCAAGCTCTTCACTGACAACCCCCACAACAAAACACAACAAAACACAACAGCAACAACAACCACTCACCTCATCCAACACCAAAAGCCCGAGTGAGCTAGAAGCCACCTCTACATGTTCAGAAGCACCTCGAAGGAAACCATGTGGTTGTCACATCAAACAGCAAGGAAAACCACCGTGAACATCCGAAAACAGCACGGACCAGGAAAGACGCCGACAACAGACCAACGAACTCCCCGGAACACACCTATGGCCGTGGTGAGGGCGGATTGGATTCTCACAGGAAGAAGGATGGATTCAGCTGCGTTCGGTGCAGCCTTTTTCTATCACTGCCTAGCTTTGATGTGCAGGACACACCTAGGGAGTGCGGCCCCTTTTTTGGGGCAGCTCAAGACTAGATGTACGGAGCATGGTAGCTGAAGACTGAAGAGACGCACGAATTCCGAGAGATAGGTATCTTTATTCACCTTCTCTTCTTGCAGAGTGAAGGGTTCCCTTCCGGCAAGGCTTTGCCGACAAACACAGGAATGTGATGGGAAATTGCCGAACGCTTCCTTGCAGGATTTGAGAATGTGTTGGTTGCTGTACCGCAGCACTTGGAGGGTAAAGGTTCGCACACATCCAACAAGAAAACAGTTTTTTTTGTTTTTGGGACCAGACCTCTACATGCTGCATGAACCAAGGAGGTACCCAGGTACCCTTTAGTAGATGCGAAAGGAAAAAGGGACCTCCAGACATGCAGAGCCGAGTCGTCCGAGTCGACTCGAAAGGGTGGAACGTGCGTCTCGTTGAAGAAACCCCCGTTGCTTTTGTCCTTGGTGAGGGACGAATGACTCGGCTTCCGGGGGATGCAACAGAACCTGGACAAATCCACAACAACCTCATGAACTCTTCTGGGTCCCAACAAGCAACCCACGATCAGAGGCCCCAAAACGTTGATTTGATGTTTGATGATGTTTGATGTGTTTCAGAATGGCTGAAGGCCATGTTCAACCAGAAAATGTGCCGTCTGTGAGGCTGACCTTCTGGAAATGTCCAACAATGGCAGGCGTTGCGGGACTTTGGGATTGTAATTTCATCATCGAAGGAATTGAACACAACTTATAGAACAGGTGTGGGTCGTCAACCTACCAATATATCAGAGAAATTCATGAGTCGCATATTCTCAGCCGCCCTCCTTCTCAGCTGCAAGCAACTTGCAGCTTTATCCACACCAAGACATCGGTAGAAACCAAAAGACATGAGATCCGCACTTCTCCTGACACATCCTCAAAACAGGTCCAGGTTTTCGCAAGAAGTTTCCCAGATCAAGTTCATCCTCCCAGCCTCAGCTGAGTTCATCCTCATACTCAGCGTGGCAGGGGCCAGTACAAGGTCAAGGAGACGAGAATGGTCTCGCTTCTGGCCGCTTCGGCTCGAAGGGTGTACCAACTCACAGGACCGAAGAAAGCGGAGTGGCTTCCCTGTTCGTTGGAAGCACTGAGAAGTTCGTGATGTTGATCCCAGTTTTCCTGCACCTTAAGCGTGCAGCCCTTGCGTGCTTGTATGAAGCATGAGCAGCATGCATATTGACTAGAGCAACTCGGCAGCTTGGTAGACATTCGATGTGGGCCACGCTGGAAAACCGCATGAGAGGCACACGCGCATCACGCGCAGAGTGAGCTTGGATGGATTGGGAAGTGTTTTTCCTGAGGCGCTTACTGCCATACATGACATCATGAAGATGGATGCTCTGCTGCCGACCGCAAGCCTGACATGATTTGCCAATTCCTGATGTTGTGTGGTGCTTTCATACTTTTGATGCTCCGCCCTGTGAACTGACACACATTGTCACCACTACAAGCGACTACAGTATGTTATTTTACATTTTAGTTAACATTTAAAAACTTTTGGTGTGGACTCATCGCAACAGGTGCAACCAGAGCACGATGGTTACCACGGTGCCTGGGATAGAAATGGCTCAGAGGATTTCTTGATATGTCTTTTGCCTACATGTTGATAATATATACAATATGAGGAGAGATAAATGCACTGAAGGCTCCTGCCCGTCTTGTTTTGTGACATTCACTAGGAGATACTTGTGGCTGGTTTGAAGGATGCTTGCGTTTGAGAGATTGTAGAGGTGTTGTAGCATACACCCTTACGTACACTTGGGCACTTGGCATTTCTCCAAATCATTTTCACAGACAGTTGGCAGCCCAAGAACGGTTCTGGGTTTGCCAAACCCAAAAACAAAGAGACCCAGAGCCACACATAACCACACGTAGCCACACATAGCCTCACAGCGACATATGTATATATATATATATATGTATAATGTATGTATAATATAATTCGATATACACAATAACATAATATAACAATAACATACTATATATATACTATGGACACATATATATATATATACACATACGATATCTATATAATATATATTATATATGTATGACATAGACATAGAGTTGCTACTTGCGGATGAGGCTATTCTGCCGGCGATGTCATTGGCGATCATGATCATGCCCTTTGCTACCTCATGGTGTCTTCGCCCGCAACGAGTCGCGCTGATGGCCCGGCGTGAGGGTCTTCGGCCGCCAAGAGGAGCAGCCCCCCGCAAAAAGGGCCAACGCGTCCGCGCGCCTTTGGATGGTGGTGCGAAAGAAGTGCGAATGTATCTGAGGACCATTATCCAGATTTGCTCCCTTCATTCAAAGAGTTGGACCTTGCCGAACGACAATCCGTGCAGTTTACACAGCCAGAGCCTGAGCCGTGGGACGAAGCAAACAGAAGTAGACAGATCCTTTGAAGCATCATCCGCTCAGCTCGGGTGGGAGAAAGAAACTGACAGTGCCCAGGTGCAACCTTTGCTTCAACCATGGATGGCTAGTGCAGGCGGAGGCGCCGACCTTAGGTCAGTGAGGTGAAGAATTAGAGCGAGTGCTGTCGCGCTTGGGTCTTGAAGGGTAGATGTCACGGATGATGTGTAGACTGGGGGGAGAACCCCTCCTTTTGCAGCTGGGTGACATGTCCATGTTCTGCATTGGCCGACCTTACGAAACGCAGTGCATCACAACGCAGTGCATCACGCCATCGGTCGTCATGAAGAGCCTTGGCATTGGCGCCTTCCAAAAACAGACACCGAACGCTCATGGTGGTGAAGGTCTCTCCCCCCCCAAAACCCACCAGCGACATACATAGCGACATTCATTCTTGAAACACGACTGCAAGTGCAGAACCTTGGATATAGGCTTCCGCTGGATTGCCACTCTTCTTTCGCCCGCCCCGCACACACCGCTTTTCCCATCCGCACACACACTGAAGTTCCCGCCCCGCGCGCCGGTTCGCTGCAGGCGCCGCCGGGTGCCATCTTCACGAAGTTTCGCGAGGCGATCAACCGAGATCGGAAGTCCGGGACGCCCAGCGGAGGACGTGCGGGAAGAAGGAAGAGGAGGACCCGTGCGGGACGCGGTCGGGAGGATGTTTTTGGGGGGGCTTTTGAGAGGTTGGGGAGTTAGGCAAAGCAAGGCTGTCAGGGAATGAGAGCAGCTCTGATAGCACTCCGAAGAGCGAAAGTGGGCACAGCTGTCACTTTTGGGGAAAGCCTTTGGGATGTCACTTCAGGTTGCACGCGGGAGAGAAGGATGTGGCCTTGTACTTTGTGCACTGGCTCACCGATCTTGCACCAGACTCAGTGCCGCATGCACCAGGTTGTCTCGGCTTTTTCTGGAACATGAGAGGCTGACATGTCTCTTTCAGCCTCCCCAAAGACAGCAGCCACACGTGAACTTGGCCAACCACGTCTCCTCGTCCGCCCCACATCTCCTGGTTGACCCAGGCCGGAGCTGAGCCCACACCGCTGGGTGGCTGTGAGAAGTTTGTCATCAAGTTTCCGCTTCATGCACGGAACCCTACCTGACCTGGACCGGTCCCGCCACCCGTGCGACGGTATGTCTATGCGGGACCGGTCGAAATTCCTTTTTGAGAAGCTCGCTTGAACTGCAAGACAGACACAACACCGATATATGAGCAGATGTTTGGAGCCTTTGTGACGGTTCGGAACGTTCTCTGGGCACTTGGCCGAGCCGGGGACCCGCACCTCCTGCCATGGACGTTGGATGCTTTGATCCCCCCGCTGCACGGGCCCATCCTGCCGGACAGGTCGAGCAGGGTCCAGAGTCAGCAGGGTTCTTCATTTCCGAACGACGGATCTGAGGTGCTCAACAGTTTTTTGCAGTCCTTCAAGTTCATTGAGGGCATCACCTCCCAGAGCGAAACAGAGGCGATCGCGGGGGGACTTCGTAAGGTTCCTGCGGGAACTGTGCGAAAACCAGAAACGAATGCTAACATATTGGGCTAGTAGTAAGTAGTAATGCCAGGAACTACTTGTAGCGTCCTAGTGCCCTTGTTCCTAATAGCGATGCCAGGAGCTACTGGTAGCTTCTTGTTAATTTGCATAATTATCAAACATATCAAACATGCAGTAACATCCAGAGAAGGTGAGGCAAGTTGGCATCAAACATGCCGAACAGATTCGACGGGTGAATCTGGGGTCCAGAAGCGTTTCCTTCAGATCCTCAGACCTTCAAACCTGCAGGTGTCCTTCTTTTCTTTGTCACTCGACTCGGCGTTCGCATCTTGGAAAGAGATTTTTCCGACTGCACGCACGTTTGCACGTTTTGGTAAGATTTCATGAAGGTAGCATGATAAGAATGAATGCGTCATAAGGAAGCCCCCCCCTGGCTATAAGCTGGTTGGCATCCCTTCCTTTTGAGATCCCCCAAGCATACTTCATTCAGAAACAGCTTGTTTCACCCACCTTTCACATGTCTTGGTCATCACATTGTTTCGACTCCACGGCCGCTCAGATCCACGGCCCCCTTCTTCGCGCGGAACTCGCGCGGCCCGCGGCCCCGTGGATCGGCGGACTCTCGCTGTGTCGGATCGTCACTCGGCCGGAGGTGATGGAGAAGTATTTGAAGTACCGCTGGTCCGACCACGTGCCCTCCCTCGGCCAGCCGCCGGTGGGCCCGGGCTCCCCAGCACTGTTTGGCGAAAGGGAGTGGCACCGAGGGACTCTTTGGGCCGAGTGACTGGTAGCTTCTTGTTAATAGTAGTAATGCCAGAAGCTACTAGTAGCTTCTTGCTCCGTTCGTAGCGATGCCCTTTGTTCCTAGTAGTCCTTGCATGTCCTTGCTAAATAAGAACCCATTCTTTCGTTCTATGTGTTCATCTTCTTGTTCCCAGGCCCCCACTCGATTGCTGCGATGCGACTTCTTTGCATGGCGCAGGCCCCTTCAGCGCGAAGCGCTGCGACGGCGAGAGTGGTTGTGGATCCCATAACTATAGGCACCAATCCTGCCAATTCCTGCCCTAGGCCCTGCCTTAGATGTCGATTCACACCATTCGCACGGCTAGCTGGTATATCGGTATACGGTATATATATATATATATACATTGATTCAAGCGGTTCTTCCGGGAAGCCCAACCAATCCATGTGCAGATGAGTGCAGATGAGCAGCAAAAAGCAGGTGGTGATTATATGCTTCTCTGAGCAGATTTGGGAGGAATGGGTCTCACTCACAATCATAGTATCTCAAACACGTTTTCTTTTTTCTTGTGATAAACATTGATAAACAATAACATTACCACAAAGACAAGAAACATATAACTAAAACCATAAAAGTAATCATGTTGGACGCCATCTCTCTGGACGCCATCTCTCTGTCTTCAGGCCAACGGACGGGCGGTGGTCGAAGCCTTTAGCGACGAGCTGCCGACAGAGGACGGGGATCTCGGATTCTCTCCAGGAGGATCCGGATGAAGATGGATTGGCCCCAATTGGTAGAAATTGGCTCTATTATATTTGGGGTTTGGAGCTTTGGATTGGGATTTGTTTTTACTGGGAGCTGATACACTATGTAAAGTCATTAGATCAATGTTCAGCAAGTTTCTTTTCTTGTGCTCAAATTCCTGCCAGGACAAGGATGTGCTTAGTGTGGAAATGGCCCGCACAGGATGTGCAGGTTGGAACAGCTGTTCGTACATGATAAAGACGCTTTTTCAATTTGTCAATTATATAATATGTGTGAGTGTGTGCATGTATACTGAACATGACTTGAGTGGCTTAAGCCATTTTTGCCAAGCACCCAGTGCGACCACATCCCGACTTCCTTCATTTCCATTCGGCCCACGACCAAATGCAGTTCCAGTACTGTAAGTTGCAACCAACTGAGTCGTCGCTTTCCGCTTTGCGACTGCGACAAAGTGTTCCTCAGCTGTGAGTCTTCTGATCACTATGGCTTTGCTTATAGTGTGGCCTGTGAAGGTGTAACAAGCGACCGTATAATGACGTCCTTGTTTGAGACATGGTTTCCAGGCTTCCAGACTGCAACCTGAGAGAAAAACTAACATGACGTGAGTAGTGAAACCATTTCGCAGATGCGTTTTTCCCCAACAGCGGAAGCTTGGGGTCTCAGCCAAACTAGGCACTGCGGCACTGTGGGACAGTCATCCGGTGAGGTTCCCTGAGGTTCCGAAGTTCCAAGCGAAGGTTCCGTGTCAAGTGTCCAAAGAGTTTTTAAGTAAAGGTTCCGAGTGAAGGTTCCGAAGGTTCCAAGTGAGGGTTCCGAG